CAGAACTAGAGGACGGCGGAGCTGAAACATACGAAACCGGATACGGGTAAGGCGCCTGAGCAAGAAGCGGCGGCTGATAAGACAAGGGCGGGATGAGAGGAGGTACAGCCTAGGCAAGCTGTGCAGCATGATAGACGGAAGGAACAGGATCAGCCGGAAGGATAAGGCTCTCAACTCTCTGAGCCCGACTGACGGTATCGGCATAAGATAACAGTCCGTGACTCCCAACTAGCTCACGGATTCTCGGATTCAGCCCTTTCAGAAACTTGTTGGCTTTCTTCTCGTCGGTGCTCACAGAATCACCAGCAAAGAGGCACATTCGGGTGAAAGTGCGGATGTATTCGTCCATGCTGGTATTGCCCTGCTGAAAATGGTAGAACTCGTGCTCCATGCGGTCCCAAAAACTCTGCGGGAGAAATTTGCTACGAACCATCGCCTTCATCTGCTCCCAAGTCAGGGCATTGAGCTCAGCCTCTGGCCTTCGAGACCAGTGGTCGACCCACCAATCAGAAGCATCTGCCTTCATCTGGAAGGCGGCAATAGCTACTCGCTGCCTGTCGGGAAGAGGGAGCACAGCAAAAATCTTGTCGAGCTCCTTCATCCACTCGAGCACAGCAGTGGGGGCCTCAATCCTCGAGAAAGTAGGCGCATGAGCCGGGGAAAATCCAAGGCCGGAGGGGCCTGCTGGTTAGGAGGAGGTGGAGGTGGTGTTTGCTGATGGTTGCGAGCATTGCGATTACGAGTGGCCATAGTTCTACATTGAACAAGCCGGAAAAGTTTAACACTTAACACAAAATTTAAAATTTAATATTGGAAGTCTAGAGTTCGCCACGAAACACTAGAGTTCAAAACAATTCAAGGTGGATAGATTTCCTAAGCCTCAGATAAATAAACAAAACCACAATAATTTCATACCTTGAGCTGGCGCGGCGAGACGAAGCGAGTGGTCAATGGTCATATAACAATTAATCACAAAAGAACCAGTCTACAGAAAAGCAAGACTGGCTCTGATACCAAACTGTAACGCCCCGTTTTATTTTAAAGAATTTATCGTATTTATTTAATAAAAATCAGAGTTTTTTTTTTTTTTTTTTTTAAAAAAAAATATCCAAGTTAAAACCTTTATCGAGAAACGGGCGCTACATACTACATCAACCAACAAACACACATCCAACATTACAAGAAAACTACACACATGCTCGAGCTAACGATAAAACAAATCCCAAAAATAATATAAGTTTCAATACCATTTCAAAAGGTCTAGCATTATTCAAAGTTCAACCAAATCAAACATAGTTCGAAAAGTGAAAACAGTAAATATTCCAAGGCAAATAAATAAATATCAAAGTACGGAAGCATAGGTTTATCAACACATATGACCACCATCTCGCTCGTCCTACGCCACCGCCTCCAGCTCGTCTCATCCTAAAACAAAGGAAGAGAGAAGACAACAAAAAAATAATGGGGGTGAGCAACCAACTAGCTCACCATTATCGCACGGTTATCTCGTATAATTATTTTAAAAAGCAGTATCAGTTTAAAAAAAACAGTTTCAGTATAGGTATGCACAGAATTCAAAGCCTAAACCCCCTACCCAGCCCTATCGCAAACCTCCTATGTACACACAACAACCTTCCGGATACAACGGCATGGCTGTAACTGGAAACATTCCCACCCCCGGGTACAACGGTTCGCAGGATCCTTTCCAGGAGACAGCAGAGATGTTTTTCCCCTTCCGGATACCACGGCATGGGGCGTCCCTCCCGGATACAACGGGCAGGCGACCTCTTACTGTTTTCGCATTCATCAAGGCACTGTTCGGGACACTTAGACTAGAGTTCTCATGCATACAAAAATTTTCAAAAGAAACATTACACGAAATAAGGAAGTGCGATAATTATGGAATACATCATAAATGTACCCACCTGATAGCAGCACGGTTCACAGTCACAAATCTCGAAACAAGGCAAGATCAACACCTCTAGGCACCTACATGATGTCAAGATCCTACAATCAGAATCTATCTTGACTTAAATCGGAAATCACAAGACAGACCTAGTCGAACTCGTTTCGACTAAGTAGTTCGTGAAGTCCTGTGGATGTTGGAACACTAAGACTCGACTCTAAACTCGACCAAACCACATAAGAGAGTTCACACAAATCCATCTAAGGATTGACCAAATCAAACACACATAAAAACCAAAAAGCAAGTCGATCCAAATTTTCCATATAACAATTATGCTCGAAAATTGAAATCATTTAATCACATGAAAATAGATGGTCGAGCTACGCAACGAATTAGGCTCTGAAAATTTACATAAAATTTCATCTCCCAGAAACATGTAAAACCACAAAGTTTCAGCTTTAAACTCGAAATATCCTAATTTATAAAATTCGAACAAAATATCAGCAAAAAGGGCACATTAATTCATACTCAGACTTAATGAATGAATCTGAATCTGAAAATTTTACACAGCAACATACATTATGTTAAAGTTCATGTATAAAAATCTCAGCCTTAAATGATGACTGCTCCTAATTTCAAAAATTCATACGAGCAACAGCAGTTTATCAAATTTAAATCCAAACTGAATCAAACAAGACTCTAAAAATTCTCATCTTTTACAAACATGATTAAACACATAAATAGACCTCTCAGTAAAATTTCAGAATTTTTCATGAAGTAAACAATTTATAAAAATTCAAAAATCGTTTCTGCGGATTCGATAAATAAATTATTAGCCACATCAAATGATGTCCAAAAATTCTAAAAATTTAACACAACACATATAAGTCACAGAGGCATGACATATTCGAATTTCAGTTCATTTCAGTCACGCATGAATTATTTATGCATTTAATACTAATCTGCTCAGATTCACATTGTAATTAAAATAAATAGCTACAGGCCTCTAAAAATTATAAAATTTTTACACAAGGTAGGCAATGAACAGATAACATACTCCTCAAAATTTCAAATCGTTTCGATCAACGAGCTATTTTTAAAAATTCGTACATCAAAACAGCGATAATTTAGCTCGACAATTAACGATTAATTGAACTCATGAAATTTATCGTCCGATGCCTTCTCATAAGACCAAGGCTCAATATTGTTCCAATATCCACCGACTTACACGACTTTCGAGGTCTCGTTCGATTCTTTAGAAAATCGAAGGGATCCCGAACATACGATAACACATAAAATCATAATTCTCACATAAAATCATAACGAACAAATTAACGCACAATATATACGTCACGCAAATCACACCTATTCATAAATGACATAATCGATTTAAACGAGACGGGATCGAGCCTTTGTACCGTTCTCGAGAATCAAACGAAAACGGACGAACGTAAGGTTGTCGGGCTCGACGGAGAACTCGCGTCTCGCCGAAAGAAGAAGGCGCTGCAGCGGCTCCGAGAGATGGTGGGCTGCTGCTGCTAGGCCGCCGTACGTCGCCGCAAGGGTCGCCGGAGGAGAAGCTGCTCGTCGGAGGGAAACCGCTGGTTCACCGGACGGCGTGGCTGCTCGCAGGGAGGAGACCACCGGAAGAATCTCACGAACAGAGGAAAGGTCCTCGTCTTCGGGCTCGTGGCTGCTCGAACTCGCCGGAAAAACTCGAACAAGAGGTCGCCGGACTGATTCGCTTCACGCCAGCATGATGGCGGCGAACGAGGATGAGAATGGTGATGAAAGGAGATGATTGTGATGACATGGGTTCACAAGGGTGATGATAAAGAAGGATTGTGACAAGAGAAGAGGTATATTATTTTTTTTTTTATAAGAGATGAGATGGGATCAGTTTTTAACAAAAGAAACCATGTGAGGAGGAGAGGATTTTGCTAGATCCAATCAAGAAGATGGAGAAAGATGCTATTTCACGTTATCATGTGAGAAGGGAGAGATACAAAACTTGTATCTATATGCTAATAATATAAAAAAAAATGATGTTGACTATTCTTGATTTACAAAAACAGATACACGGGCACATACTCACCTATTAAATGAACCGAGTTTGATTCACGCGGGTATACTCAGGCTCGATTATCCGATTAAATAATTTCGACGGCTCAGTTTGATCGCAAAATAAATTAAATGAAACTGGATATTTAAATTTAATACATACATTATTTTAAAATACTATTATTATTAATCAAAATATACGATTAAAAATTAATTGACAATTAAAACATATAATATTTAGACATTCAATTTTTCAAGAAATAACTAATATTATCACAACAACAATAATAATAACAATAACAATAATGATAATAATAATAATAATAATAATAATAATAATAATAATAATAATAATATTTCAAATAAACCACAAATAAATGGGGCACTACATTTTCCCAAATGATTGTCCAATTAAATTATAATAACAATTTTGTGCGTTGGATACTGTGCCAATTTGATGGCAATTTGTCTATTCCTCTCCCAATGGCCTTCTTTACTTTATCGGAATAATTATTTTGCTCCCTTATCTTTCAGTATAAACATGCGTGTTCAGTTGTTGAACAAAGTGCACCGAACAGGAAAAAAAACACACGGCTGAAGAGAGAAAAAGAGAGGAAAGAAAGAAAATCAATCTAAAATAATTTTGGAGGGATAAAAAAAAAATCAGAGAGAAAAATATAGAAATATTTATTTGTTATCAAAATAACAAAAGAAAGATATTTTTATTCCTATTTTTAAGTGCTCAATTCTCGACTCCGTTCCAGTTCGCCGGAGCTCGTAAATCTGGTGTGCTACAGATTTAGAGACGTTTGCCGTTGTATCTTTGGGGAAGTTACGCCTAAACCGTTAGCTGCCACACGTGGCGTATTCTTCTTGCGGAAAGAGTTTTACTGGCCTCGGCTAAAATCTTTCCGTTTTAAGTTTTAATTTATTTTTTGGTTGTAATTTATTTTTCAGTTCGATTGTAATTTTCTATTTTTTAGATTATATGTAGGAACTGAAAAATACATATCAGTTCGTAAGATTCTCGTGTATTTTTATACCTAGTTGATAACAAAATATTTTTCGATTTTAGCGCGTTTGTCTGTATATCTGGAGTAGAAGAGAAATAGGGACGAAAATGGTGTGCGTTTTTTGTCAGTCAACGTTAGTCAAGTTATTTCAAGGTAAAGTTGAAAGCTTGTAACTGACCTTAATCGAGGTTTGCCTCTTTTCTTCTCGTTAGTTGATTTGGTGGATTCATGTTAATCTGTTTCTATCGTGGAAAATTATGTTTTGTCATCAACCCCGCGTATGTTCTACTGCTGCTCTTACCGCTGTCTCTCCGTATTTTTGTAGATATTCAAGAGCGGACATCTGCTCATATCATCTAAAGGTTAGCGCTTTCATACTTGTAGATGATGTTAGGCATTGGGGTGTATGGATGCCAAGTTTTTTGAATGTGTTAATGTTTCACTGTGTGTCCGTATTATTTCCGTGTTGGTATTTAATGCCTGTACAGCCATCGAAATTCAAACTTTGAACTTGAAGATTTTTGCCTGTTTTATGCCTGTGGCTTTGACATTGGGTCTAGGGGTTGTTATTGGTTTCCCTTGAGAGGGGCAGACAAAAAAGAAATTGATGTTAAACTGGACAAATCAAATGCTCATGCACACCTGATTATAGGGTTGTGAATATTAATCATTTATGTATTAACGCGTCATCATTTTGAAAGATGGTGGAAAGATAGAAAACAGGGCTTATTGGAAGCAAATATGTTTAGATAAATTGATGCATAATGGTTTGATTAATTATGGGCATGTATTATGAAACACTTATTACCCACAGAATTATGGTCCTCAGCTTGCCTTGTTGCTGACACGGTTGTAAATATGTGTTCTTCATATTGTTGTTATTCTGCTGTATTCATTGGCTGTTACACTTTGAAGGCTTGGGATGGAAGTCTTGGAAGAAGAGATGGTTTATCCTTACATGCACTTCGTTGGATTTCTTCAAGAATGACCCTGTTAGTCCCAATTTACATCTAGATTTTGTACATTACATTAATGTGCTATGTATCAATGCTTACAAAACTATCTTCTTTTTCATCATATCACCGAGAAATCCAAACCTTGTGTAGCAATTCTGTTACTTCCGTTTGTTTAGATTTCAACTTTGTATTATTATCATTCTTAATTTTTCTATAGAGTGCACTTCCACAGCGCGGTGGTGAAGTAAATTTGACTTTGGCGGCGTTGATTTGAATAATTCTGGGAGGTATATACACACATGACCTCTGTTTTTATTTTCTCTTCATCTGATGGGTCTCCTTGCAGTGTCTTGAATCTTGACGCCTTCTTATGTGCAGTGTTGTTGTTAGAGAAGACAAGAAACTGCTGATTGTTCTATTCCCTGATGGACGTGATGGACGAGCATTTACGCTTAAGGTGCATAATTGATCAGATGTTATTTCTGCACTGTTTTGCACAGTCAAGCTTCTATTTAGGACTTGGGAATTATTAGGATCACTTATCCTGAGGTTTGCTTAATTTACATATCATTAAAGTTATCTTTCGAAATTAGAAGTACTCGCTTGACATTCGGTACTCTTTTGTGACATGAAAATATCAATAGGTATGTGTCATTTTTGAAGATATTTAGGGCTTGATTGGTTATGAAATAATTTACTCAACTTTATTTGATACTCAAAATCTAACTCAACTTTAACTCAATCCCACTGTCTTTAATATTATTTATATAATTAAATAATACAAACTAATCATTCTTACACATCACATCAACTTTAATTCACTATTCATCCACTCACATAATTTTAACTACTTATCATTTCCAATCATTTATCTCCTACTTTTACATCTAATCAATTTTAATTATTTTATTTTAAATATTATTTTAATTCATTCTTAAAATTTCACTAACAACTAACTATACCACCTTTTTCAAATTTAACTATGGTTAACTAAAATAACTCATTTTGAACAAATTATTTCATAAACAATCAATCCCTTAGGTCTTTGTTTAGTGAGCTAAAACATATAAGTTCAAGGCTGTTTTATGACTAGCATTAGGTTGTGTATGATTCTTTATACTTAGCCTGGAAGTAATGTGATGCAATCCCATTTCTTTCTCTAATCTTCAGGCTGAAACTTCTGAGGACTTGTTTGAGTGGAAGACGGCCGTTGAGAATGCTCTGGCACAAGCCCCAAACGCTGCTCTTGTTATGGGACACAACGGCATATTTAGAAACGACACCAATGATTCTATTGAGGGGTCTTTCAATCAATGTTAGTACCTAACATTATTTCCTTTGATGTTCTTCCTGAAATACTGATCCAGTGGTCACAGTTCTAATTGCAAAATATTGATGGAGTATCTTTCCGTTTAGGGAGAGAGAGACGCCCAGTGAAGTCTTTGGTTGTGGGTCGCCCAATTTTTCTTGCATTGGAAGATATTGATGGTGGCCCATCCTTTCTAGAGAAAGCACTTAGGTTTCTCGAGAAAGATGGTATGCATTTCTTAATTTGTTCATGCTCTTTTGGGGGGCTCAATTTGGAGTTGCCAGTAATGAACTCCTTTGAAATAGTAGTAATGAGGCCATGTTTTTATTTAATAACCGACTTTCATCTTGCAATAACATATATCAGGTTGGTCCATGTTTTCGCCTATTTTGGTCTTATCTAACTTGGCCGTATTTCCATTTATAAAGAGTTTTTCTTTGTTTGATTTCATTCATTCAAATTTGGGCTTAGTTTTAGATGTACCCTTAATATACTTGTGTAACTCTGTGTCTCATTTAATTAGTAACTATTAACTTTTGTTCGACCTTTTATTTTTGGCTGTTCATAAAGTTTGTCTGTGTAAGAAACACATGCATACTTCTGTTAATAAGGTTGAGGAATAAATGACAATTTTGTTAGATAATTTGAAAGTTTCTAGATGACAAATCTCTCTGTACTGTATGTTCTGACTGTAGTTGATATGACTAACAGGAATTAAAGTAGAAGGAATTCTGAGGCAGTCTGCAGACATTGAGGAGGTGGAACGAAGGGTTCAAGAATATGAACAAGGTCTTGTTGTTTTACTGTTGTGGCTGTTCTTGATAGCATTACATTTTTAGATGCTGTCATGAATCCTTTAGATTTTTTTTTATTTGGTCTGGTTGATATGATCTGAGATGCTAGTTTAGTAGTTTTGGCTTCGGTTATGATAAATTAAATTTCTGATAATGTTTGGGTGCATGCTATTATATACTTTAATTTCTTTTTTTAGGAAATCGGAAACAAATGTCTTGGTATTCATAATAATTACTTCCACTACAATATTACCAATCTCAATTAAGAGCATCTCCAATGGCCCAATGTTGTTATAGAACAAATTGTGAACCTTATAGGAAAAGTGTTAAGCTCACAACTATAAAACTAAAACATTCCCCTCCATTGCACAATGTAGTCAAACTACAATATTATCCACTTGGCCAATGTTTTTTTTAAAAGGAAATCAAATTAAAGATAGCTTGGAATTGTTCATAATATTTCTCTCTCGTCTCCATTGGCTAGGTAGTGTGTAGAGGAATGTGGATGAACCACATTCTTATCTACAATGTAGACATTAATTATGTCCACATCATCACTGCATTTGTGATCACATTGTACATTGGAGGATGAGGATGCAAAATTATGATTATGACATTACTAAATGTGTTGATGTCAAATATAATTTACCACAACATTTGAGCATTGGAGATGCCCTAAGGTAATGGACCCCTAGACCTGGTTTTGACTTTCAGGACAATTTCTTTGATATTTAGCTTATTATTTATCTGAAACTCTTTACTTGGATTTTCGTTTTCTATTTCTCCTAATTAAAAATGTAAAATTTACCACATGTCACGACCAATTTGAACGTTACTTTGATCATATTAGGCAAGGCAGAATTTGACCCCATTGAGGATGCTCATGTTATTGGAGACTGCATTAAGGTTTGTTTGTCATCTTGGTATTTAGCTTTTCTGTTCTGCTTTTTTGCTTTCAATAAAGAACTATAAAACTGACGATGGAAGTGAAATACCCTTCAGCATGTTCTTTGGGAGCTACCTTCCTCACCTGTTCCTGCATCATGTTGCACTACCTTGTTGGAAGCCTTCAGTAAGTTCCTTTAAAATCTTCTACTTACATGTTTTTGCTGGATTTCCAGTCCATGTTTTATGTGTCTATGATGGGATTTTGGGTAACTCGTTCTTTTGTGGCTGTTTTCGAGAAGAGATCAACCAAAGGGAAGCTCGGGTGAACACGCTCTGCTATACATGAATCATTTCGAACCAAATAGACGCCTCTTGCAGACGTATTGGCATATGATCATGATAAGATACTTTTATGCTTTTGTAGTCTGTAGTACTTTTATGTGTAGTCTGTAGTACTTTTATGTGTTATCGTTAAACAACTTCCTGTTTATTTCTAGAACATGGATGGTAAATCAGCTCTGTGGATGCATTTGCATATCAAATTTTTTTTAATTGTTTAATAATATTTTATTTCCGTGAAAAAGCTATACCTGAATATAGTTCTTAAATTGATGGGTTTATCTTCCACAAAACATTTTGCAATTTGCAATCTTCTTCTTATTTTTTGTTTTTTCTTTTGTTTTTCTAGAGTTCTTAAAATGATGCATACAGTTTCTTCTCATGCTTCTGAGAATCGTATGACCCCATCGGCTGTTGCTGCTTGCATGGCTCCACTGCTATTACGGCCACTTCTAGCTGGAGAATGTGAATTAGTGGATGACTTTGACATCAATGAAGATCATTCGTCTCAGCTTCTTGCTGCTGCAAATGCTGCTAATAGTGCCCAAGCAATTGTTACAACTCTCCTTGAAGAGTATGACTATTTTTTACTAAGTTGGAATCTTGTTTTACTTTTACTACTATTATTATATTTTTTTCTAATTTGTGAGTATCTGAAATTTTGCAATGCTATGGTAAATTCCTCTTGCCTTAGCCGAGTCTGTATACCCTCATGTATGTTCTACTCAGTTGTTATCACAACATCTGTTGGAGAAGTAAATTTTTGGGAGTTAGATGCCAAATTGTTGGCTGTCATGACTGAATTGTCTTATAATTATTTATTCAAACTTTTGGCAATGTTCTAGAATGTCATGGCCTTAACTAAATGATGCTTGTAAAAATTTGGGAGGAGTTTTTGCAGAAATTTTGATTTTGGCAAAGAGTGATGTACATATAGTCGTACAAAACTGAAAATGCCATGATTTCTCGTGAGGAAATTTTGTTATATATTTTTGGTAAAAGAAAGCTTTGGTGTTCAACATACAAAAGTTTTTGTGAAAATCTTGATAAACTCCAATTTTCTCAATTATCGATGGCACTCGCGTATAATTCACCAGGAAATGATAGATATCTATATATATAATAAGAATTACCATTTTTAAAAAATAGAAAATCAAATTTCAGTCAACATTAATTACCTACCATTCTTAGTAATTTTTTTCCTAATAATCATATTAACAATATATTAAAAGAGTGATTAACATGCTTTGTTATATAGATACGTGATTTTCACTTAAAATTGAAATGGTTACAGGCTTTGTTCATTAAAAATTGACAACATGTTAACAAGATTTTTCAATTTATGAGGTTTTGTTCATAAATTTTTCAACATGTAACAGCATGTTAACCATTTTTCAAAGCCTATTAATACATTTCAAGTTTTAATAAGAATTACCATGTGAATATGACATCAATATTTATTTATTAATTCATTTCAATTTAACATTCCCTAAACTTCAAATAATCATATTAACAATATGTTTATATGACAACATGTTTAATGATTAATGAATATTTATATATCATTTTATTATTATTTATGTGAATAAAATAATATTTTATTATAATTTTTATTAATGTACAGTGAATATGGTTTTCAGAATCGAACCATCATCAAAACGATCAAGTGATTGTATTAAATCATTTGTAGTTTGTTCAGATTTTAATTTATAAACATTTTAATATCAATATATATATATATTATAATATATATATATATATATATATATAGAGTACTTTTTGTAATAAATTTCAATAAAATGTGTTACTTAAATATCTAAACAATTTATAAATTCAAATGTTAAAAATAATTGATAAACAATTTATAAATCTCTATTTTATTTAAATATGTAATTTTATTTAAAATAATTTTAAATGTAACAAAATTTATTTAGAAAATCGTAACGATCCTATCAGTCCAACTGACTGATGTTGACGGATTCAATAGTAAATATTTTATTCAAGCGAATTACACTGTTTATAACCCGGTTCTCGGTCCATCCGGTCGGACTGTGTCCAATCTGGTTTAATTTAAAAACAATGGGTAAATCATAATTAATGATATTATATATTTAATTTATAATATAATCGAAATATTATTTTTCCGTGCATCGCACGGGCCACGCACTAGTTGAATTATTGTATCCTTTCAGGATGATATTCTGCACAGGTGCTCCATGTTTGTAGATTCTCAAACAGATAATAGTGTAAGTAAAGATTCGAGTGATGATGAAAGTCCTGACATAGAAGTCAATGGTTATCACGATGCTCAAAATGAAGCCGATCATGAAACAGACTTTGAATGTGACCGCATGCATAGTGGGAAGTTAAGTGAAAGCAGTGGCTCGGCTGCTAGTGATCTGTATGACTATAAGGTTCTTGCCTCTCTCTCTCTCTATCTCTCTCTCTCTCTCTCTCCTTCCCACACACACACACAAACCATGTGTGCATGCTTGTACATACATTTTTAGTGACTCTCATTACTTGAATAGTCTTTGTTTATCTGGTGTGTGAAAAGGTTTATTTTTAATTTTGTTCTCTATCTGATCTCTTACTTGTTGCTTGAAAATTTAAGTCATTCCCAATGCAATATTAGACAATTGCAGGTTTGACTTGGACGTATAGTGAAAGTAGTCAAGAAAATAGAACGTTTTAGCAGTTGGATGCTTGGATCATCTTTTAATGTCCTTACTAAAGTTGGTTTTCAATGTGCTTTTCCAAACTCCAGGCTATTGGCAATGATGATTCTGACGATGGTTCTCGTTCTATAGAGACAAAATCAAACCCAACAGTGGACCGTAGAGCTTTAGTGATTCTGTTTTTCCAGTTGACCAACTGAGGGTACGTGAGAAAAACACAATTAGTGCTTCTGAAGATGTACTTCGTAATGAGGCCCAAAGATCTATGGGAGAGATTTTGTCATCTATGATACAAGAGCCACATCAACCAGTCACTGAATCCGACCTATTGACTGAAAAGGCAATACCAAAACCCACTAATATGAGTAATGGTAGTGCCAAAAGGTTGACATTTTGGGGAAAGAAAAATGTGAGTTCTTTTTTCTTTTTCCCCCAAACCCAGTTTCTCTGTATGTACGTTCACTGTTATTGATATCAGAATAAAGACTTATTGGCCAATAGTGTAAGCTTTCTAATAAGTTTCAGTTTCTGCATAAGTATGTACTCACTGATGATGCACCGCATCGGCATGTGCAGAAGATAGAACTTGTGTATTAACTTGTTACTAATTTGGTGTATTGGGTATTGTGGATTGTGTGATTTGAATTGTGATGTTTTCAGTGATTGATTGATCTTCAGATTTTTATGTATAACTTTTATAATGCACAATCTTAAGTCTTATATTGGGATCAAGCAAAGTGATATTTCTGTTCTGCAGGCAATTGATTCATCTGGAGAGGAAGAGTAAGATTTTCTGATATACATACATTTCTTTGTCTGTTTTACGATAATTACTGCCCTCTTCTTAACTTTTGTGAATTTTGTGTGCAACATAATCTTAAGTTTTTGTTTTTGTTTTTGTTTTTGTTTCTTTTTTCTTTTATTTTTTTTTTTGTTTTGTTTAAGAAATACATTTTCTTGATATATTCAAGTCAAGTGGCTTGTTTTGTAGGCTTGCCATCCAGAGACTGGAGGTAGCTAAGAATGATTTGCGCCACAGAATTGCAAAAGAGGCACGTAATTATCATGACGTGTCACTATGTGTCATGTTATATTTTGTTATTGTGTAGTCTGTGATGATTTTTGCCAATTTGTGTAATTTAGGCAAGAGGAAATGCAAGTTTGCAAGCTAGCTTGGAGAGAAGGAAGCAAGCTTTGCATGAAAGGCGGTTGGCTCTTGAACAAGATGTGAGTGTTTTTTTCTCGACGTTTAAAATAAATCTTTTCTGGGTAATGTTCGGTAAATCTAGCTTAAAACCAACTAGCTGATATTCAGTGAATTTAGAGCTTATAGCTGATAACATATAATTGGTGGCTAAAAAGCTAGCTAGCGGATATAATAGAAGTGTTAAAGACAAAACTTTTATCAGCTGTAATAAAAATTTAAATAGGCTCCTACCAAACAAGTCTATTGAAAACAAGAAGCTTGCAAGGTAATTAAAAATAATTTATAAGGGCATCCGCAACGGGGCATTAATTTGCCCCGTTTAAATTGCCAATTCCCATTTATTGTGTTGGGGCTGTTCATTAAGGGGTGGGCCACCATATATCGGTTCATTCCATTGAACGGAACATTTGTGCTTTTTTTTTTTCATTTATTTTTAATTGATTTCTTTTTTTAATGCACCTTGGGTCCACTGAACGCATTCTTTTTTTTTTTAGTTTTAAATTAATTATTTATTCAGTCTTTTTAAGAATAGAATATAGAAATAGTATTAAATGAGTGGGTAATGGGTCCATTATGTTTGTATTGAAATGAATGATTGAATGTGGGTGTGTTATGTCCATTGCAAATGGAGCTAGAAGAGTCAACAATTCTCCTGGTATAGTGCTAATAATGGACTAGATCAAAATGACTCAATTAAAATCTAGTGCTTCTTCTATTAGTGAAGTTTCTAGAAAAAAAAAATATATCTAACGGCGCAATGCACCTTGGGTCATTACGGAAACAGTCTCCTTGTATAATTACAAGGGTAAGGTTTACGTACAACTGACCCCCAGACTCCAACCTGTTGGGAATATATTGGGTATGTTGTTGTTGTTGTTGTATTGAATGTGGGTGTGTGTTTAAATGAAGAGATGTTTAGTGGAAAGATGATGTGGATGAGAGATTATAAATTGTGATTGAATGAATGTTAAGGGATACAGATGCCCTAAGCTAGGGTGACTAAAATTTTATTCTTTACCCCTTATCTGTACATGTATCTCTTGCATTAGTAAATTAAATTTATTTCAATTTTCTTTCTTCAATAGGTGACAAGACTGCAAGAACAGTTGCAAGCAGAGAGATACCTCCGAGCTGCCTTGGAAGTTGGCTTAAGCATGACTTCTGGGCATTTTTCCAGCTCTCATGGCATGTAGATAATATGGGATATTATATAGTTGAGGAATAAACCGGTTTGCATCATCGGTCGAGCAACCTCGAAGTAGAGAAAGCCGGATGGGTAGAAGGAGATCGAGCAGAATAGTAGAACTGGTCGAGGATCGACCAAAAGGGAGGAGATCGAGCAGAATAGCAGAACTGGTCGAGGATCGACCAAAAGGGAGGAGATCGAGCAGAATAGCAGAACTGATCGAGGATCGACCAAAAGGGAGGAGATCGAGCACTCAGCAGGTGAAGAGCAGTCTAGAACGTGGCTTGAACGCGAGAAGGCGCGTGGATGATGTTAGAAGATCCCAACGGCCTACGCAGGAGAATAATCTCCCTCAGCCCAGAGGGACACGTGGCGAGAATATATTGGTGCAGAGTGATAGTGGCGAAAACCACCCCTGACATCTCTGACACACGCACACTATGTGTGTACTGACGGGCAGTACGGGCAGGACAACTCACCAAAAGCCGGGCATTTTTTAGGGTAGGTATCTCACTCATATATATATGGGAGTGGGTCTTTTCTTGTAGCCTACGATTTATCCATTCTTTACTTTGGAAAATTGAACAAACACATACTGACTTAAGCATCGGAGGCTCTTCACCGGAAAACCCCTCCGGTGTGAGAGTTCTGTGCAGGAACGCGGCGTTCTACCGGCGAGGAAGAAGGAGGCAAGCTGCTTTCAAGCCGGTCGGAGTGTTTTGCGTTACCATTTGGCGCCGTCTGTGGGACTTTCGTTCGAAAAGTGGTGTGCTGAGAATTCTTAAGCTCGGTGGCTATGGCAGACGGAATTCCTAGGAGAGATTTGCAAGCATCGTTCGATGATGCGTGGATGATGACGAGGCCGTTTGGAGAAGGCCCTCCTCCGGGCTTCTCCGGACCTTCGCGCACACTGGTGACTCCGATGCCCCCTCCCCAAGGCGGAGGAGTCATGCCGGTACAATCAGAGGTTGGCGTGGGCTCAAACCGGGCCCAGGAGACTCGCATAGCTCAAGGAGCGGCGGTCCCAACGCCGCTGCAACCAAATCTGGCCGTGACGCTGCAGCAAGGACCGGCGGCGCAGGAAGCAGTGCCGCCGCCGGCGGAGGAGCCGCGTCCCGGCCAGCAGGTGGTGATGACCAGGCAGGAGATGCAGCAAATGGTGACGAACGCAGCGGCACAAGCGGTTCAGCAGGTCACTCAAAGCCTTTCGCGAGTGGCTGCTGGACCAACGATGGTGGATGAGGATGTATCTAGCTATGGAGGAGATGGGGCCCCGCGAGATCGTGAGGTGGAGAGGCTCGCGGAGCAAGTAAGGCAGATGCAGGCTAAGATGGATGGTCGACCTGAAAGGCGTGCTCGAGGACATTCGTTCTCGAGGGATATATTGGCTGCACCATTACCGGCGAATTTGAGAGACATGAGTTTGATGTTCGACGGGACCACTGACCCGTCGAGGCACGTAAGGGCGTTTGAGAATTTGGTTGTGTTACATGGTTATTCTGATTCTGTTAGCTGCAGGGCGTTCTTGTCGACCTTGAGGGGAGGTGCGCTCGATTGGTTCCAGCAGCTCCCTCATGGATCGATCAAGGACTTTGACGATTTCGCGGAAAAGCTAATGACCCAGTATGCGAGTGCGGTGGCGCAGGAGAAAACGTATTTGACGTTGATGGCCATGAGGCAAGGGGAGAAAGAATCGTTGCTCAAGTATGTTGCGCGATACAATCAAACTTGTTTGGAGATCGCCACGGCCTCGGACGAGGTGAAGGCTGGGGGGTTGATACGGAGTTTGCGAGCAGGGCCCTGTCGAACATATTTAGCCAAAACCCCTGCTCGTACGTATGAGGATGTGCTGAAAAGGTGTAAGAAATATATTAATCTGGAAGAGACGGAGGCGGAGTTCGCTAAGTTGGAGGAGTTGGCTAGGCCGGAGCCGAAGAAAGGAAGGACGAGCTCACCTCAAAGGGCGTCACCAGGTAGGAGATCGCCCAGGAGAGAGGGGCGTGGCAGGGTTGATCGAGGGCGAGAGGACCGGTGGAAAGATCAACCAGTGTCTGGAGGGAAGCGGTTCCATAACTTTACGCCCCTTAATGCAAATATGGGGGAGGTGCTAGTGGCTATTGAGAAAAAGATCGAGAATAAGGACGTGACGTGGCCGAAGTCGAGGCGTGAGGGACCAACGCAACCTAGGTCGGGGAAGTATTGTCGTTTTCATAAAGATTATGGGCATACAACGAAGAAGTGCAGGCACCTCAAAGATGAGATCGAGCGCCTTATTAGAGCAGGATATCTTAAGGAGTTTGTATATGAAGACAAGGCGAAGGGGAAGGGCAAAGGAAAGTGTCGGGAGGATTCGGTGGAGCGGAGTGATCGAGATGATGATGATGAGGAGAATAATTCTCGAGGAGGGAGAGAAGATCGAGGAGGCAAGAGGAGACGAGGGAGTCGAGATCGAGGTCAAGAGGATCATGGCCTAGTGAAGAGAGGGACGATCTATATGATTTTGAGGGGCCCGACCGATGGGGACTCGAATAATGCAAGGAAAGGCCATGTTCGAGCGGTGAAGAGAAAGAGAGAGGAGGTGGGGTTTCACTGCTCGAATGCCGGTGATAAGTTTCCAAGCGGAGGATGCAGAGGGAGTAGTGGTGCCCCACAATGATGCGTTAGTGATAACGACGGAGGTGGCCGGTTTTGATGTGAAGAGGGTGTTCATCAATACCGGGAGCTCGGTGGACGTAATGTTTTATGATTTTTTTGTGCAGATAAATAAGAAGCTCAACCTCGACTTGAAGCCGGTGGCAACTGCCCTGTATATGGATTCAATGGAGGCGAGGTGATGACAATGGGAGAGGTGAGCCTATCTGTGGCGTTGGGGCAAGGAGCAACGAGGAAGGTGAGAATGGTGAGGTTTGTGGTCGTTGGAGCAGAGTCATCATATAACATTATCATGGGAAGGACCAGTTTGAATGCATTCCAGGCGGTCGTGTCGACGTACCACATGACGATCAAATATCCGGTGGGGGAAAGCGTTGGTGAGGTCGCGGGAGATCAGCTTACCTCGAGGAGTTGCTATCAAACCACGGTGAGCAACAATAAGCAGCTCTCGAGGAAGCAAGCGAAGCCTGAAGAGGGAGGGCTGAACAGGCCTGGGGGCTCAAGGTCGAGAGAAGAGACGGAGAGAGCAAATAAGGGGAAGGAAAAGGTGGAGATGCAGCCAGGAGGTGAGATCGAGGAGGTTCAGATGGTAGAAGGTTGCGAGGAGAGGAAGTTTCGGATATGAAAACAGATCGAGGAGCTCATAAGGTCAAAATTGATTGAATTGATCAGGGAGTTCGCGGATGTTTTCGCGTATACGGCTGAGGAGTTGACGGGGATAAAAGCGGAGGTGATCGAACATCGTTCGAATATTGACCTAACAGTGAGGCCGGTGAAGCAAAAGAGGAGACACCATGGCGCGGAGATGGACAAGGTGATCGAGCAGGAGATTGAGAAGTTGTTGAAGGCGGGCCATGTTAAGGAGATCCAGTTCCCCGAATGGTTGTCGAATACGGTGATGGTGTCTAAGTCTGGGGGGAAGTGGAGGATGTGTATTGATTTTCGAGACTTAAACAAGGCGTGTCCAAAAGATTTGCATCCACTGCCTAGGATCGACCAGCTGGTCGATTCTACAGCAGGTTGTGAACTGCTCAGCCTCATGGATGCATCCCAGGGGTATCACCAAATCTCTTTGGCCCGGGAGGATAGGAAGAGGGTGAGCTTTGTTACGAGCAGAGGCACTTATT